TAACTATTTTCGTTTCCGAGTTTTGTAATAAGCACATAAAGCCTGGTGTTTATAGATACGTACACTATACATTTACATATCTACAAAGTCCTCGTCAGAATAGTCTATTCTTTAATGCCTGGTGTTTATAGATAAGAACACTATATATTTTCAAAGTCTTCAATATAGGTTTTACCATTGATACAGTGAGCATCAGAACAACCTATCGTTGGTAACGTGTCTCTCTACTGGAATTTAAATACATAATCATCTTTGAAATCGATAGGTTCCTCTCTCGACACAAGTAACTTCTCCGCATCCCTTGAAACATAACATAACAAAACCGAATGTTCGTGGTAAGCTGTTTGATTGGTTCCATGTAGGAAAACCTGACCAATCGCTGGACTGACACCTTTTCATTTTGATTCATTTGATTTTTATAAAAGACATCACACAAGTCTACTTGTATCATTCTCAAGTTCTTCTGTAAGAAATGTTCGATTTGTTCATGACATATTTCAGGAATACAGAGAGGATACGTGTACCGAGGGTGGATCCCTGGATTTGGAGGACGCGATAGAGTGGTCTTCTGGTTCTTTATAGAGTAGTTCATCGTGAATAGTTTCGTAATATTACTGATACGTGAATAGATCTGTAGATAATTGAGTTGTAGAGAGCTTAATAGAGCTGAAACAAGCGGACGAAGTTAGTATCATCCTCAGCGAGTACAAACATGTCACCACAAACAGCTACTGCGAATGGGCGCTTTATTCCATCTGATGACGTCAGCAGTTCCCTGACGTGTGTCCCGTCCCCAGACATTTGCACGACGTTGTTCGATGCAAAGCCACACACGTAGATGTTGCCCTCCCTATCAACGATAACTCCTGCAGCTGAACTCACGACACCTCTTTGCATCACATTCTTGCGACGTTTGTCAGCCGAAAGTCTGGACAGCACAACTTTCCCTTGGGTACTGATGTGGCAGCTGACCAGTATGTCTTCATTTGTTGGGTCATGTGAGAGGAAATAACACTTGCCATTATACTGATATAATAGCTCAGCGGTGCCGTCCTGTGTCACACTGTACACTTCAGCTTCTTTTGTGTCTGTACAAACGACAAATCTTCCGTTGATATGGGTTATACCCTGGCAGCCTTTATCATCTGGCAAACAGATCTCGGAAGAAAGTGACATTTTTGAGTTTTCTACTTTCACGATATGGACACCACCTGGACTTCTAACTGCTACAGCCACTGTGTTGTCGTTCACCAAACACATATCATTGGGACTTCCGTAAATGGTCATCTCATCCAGGTACTGTCCTTTATCTGTAAACAGCTTCAGCTTTTTGTTTCTGAGATCGCTTACTACTATTTGATTAAACGGAAGGTATACGACGCCAAATGCTTTACAATCGTTCCCATCTGATGTAGATTTTATACCAAACTGTTGTACTTCTCTCACGCGACGCCCGGACATTGGTGATGTAAGGTAACCATGACTCTCAGGAAAACGTCTTGAAGGTTTCTCAATGACGATATTCCCCATTGCGTCATCACCAAATGTTACAAGTTCGGGTTCGGTCTGATGCTTAACATTGACGGAAGTGAAAGATTCGTTCATCTCCTTGACCAGGGCCTTACACGACTCAACTTCTGCTTGTCCTCTCTGATACGACACTATCGTTTTAGTGTTATCGTTTCCCTCTGTAGCTTTAATCGACGACTTCAGGGTATTAAGCATACTATTCTTTAGACGTTCGCATTGCCGTAAGGAGTCCTCCAATTTCCTCTTTTCGTCTTTGAACAGTGTGATAAACTTGTCTGTGCAGTCCTTCTGAAGCTCGTCAAGCCGTTTGTCGATCCTTTGGCGTAGATCTGTAATACTACAGAGAGCGATTTCGTGGTTCTTTACCATAGCTTGTAGCTGTTCGTCAAAGTCCTTCACTAAGGAGTTCATGACCTCTGAACCTTTCTTCAGTGCTGCCTGCATATCTGTCAGTTGTGTTCCTGCTTTCAACTTCTGAAAATACTCTTTCGCTGTTGTCACCTCCTCACAACGTCTATGATCTTTGAAGACACAGATGTTACAACCGAGCAGTTTGTGATCCTCACAGTACCAAACCATATCCTCGTCATGTTGGTCACAGTGAGGAACAGAGTTCTGTGTTGGTCTTTTGCTATCGTGACTGGTAATATCTAATATATCACATCCAATATGTATGACATCGTGGTGACCCACTTTACAAGTCTCACAAAAACCGGATTCCATTTTCTTACACCAGAACTTAGCAGGATTGGACGGATTACCTTTTGTTTGACAAGGTGTGCAGTACAGTGGTGCAGACGACTGCTCCTTAAGCTTGATCAGTTCTTGGATCACAGCATTGGCTGGAAACTGTTTGGCCCAGTTTTTCTTGGTGTCCGCTTGATTGACAGGCGTAGCCATCCCTCTACAAACTGGACACGGAAAAGATGTCCCAGACGCCATCTTACCGGACAACTCCTTGGTGATGTAGGTCCCCAGGCACTCCTGACAGAAGCAATGGAGACATGGTAAGGACTTGGGTTGTCGAAGTCGCTCTAGACAGATTGGACACTCCAGTAAGTGTAAGTCTAGTTCCGGAAGTGGTCCGCCTTCAGCCATTATGAGGGTCAGCTTGGTTCAACTTAAACCTGAAAATGTAGATATGTATGTGACTATTAGATTTATATATTACTGATTGTCAACTTAACTAAATCATGTTGTTTATGTAAATTACAGTTTCATGTACGGTAAATAACAGTGTTATATATTGTGTTCTGTGCGATGATCGGTAACAGTGTTCTTTGAACAAGAGGCCGAAGGGCCTTAGCAGTCATCTGAGTTATATCATATAGGTACTGGTAGCTTTATTTTATTGTTTACATGTGATGTGGAAATCACCATGTAAACTATCTGAAATACAATACAATACATGTCATCAAAGGATAAGAATTTTGAAATATTGGTCAATGTTCCATTTGGGGCCCCTCACCAAGGGGGAACGGATGGTTCAGGTGTCCTGAAATTGACAATTTCAATAAAGCTCCTGATGATCTTTCTATCCATGCACTGCAATTGACTGTAGAACCTCTGAGTCTGGAGAGGAAGGTTTTTAAAATATTGGTTAATTTCCCCGCCCTGGCCCCTAGGGTTGGGGTAGGAATCCAAATTTTACATTTTAAAACCATCTTCCTCCAAAGATAATTCTCACCAAGAATAATTTCCTACAGAAAATTGTCAAAACATACCCAATAGGGTTGTTTCCCTATATAAACTATTGTAAACTTTACCTCCTCCCCAAGGGAGAACGGATAGCTCGGGCGTCCTGAAATTTACAATTTAAACATGCAGAGAAAATGACTGTTGTACCTCTGAGTCTGGAGAATAAGATTTTTGAAATATTGGTTAATTTTCCCTTTGGGGCCCAACCCTGGCCCCAGGGGTTGGGGTAGGAATCCCAATTTTACAATTATGTAGCCTCATCTACCAAGGATGATTCTCACCAAGTTTGAAAAAAATCCATCCACTGGGTCTTGAGAAGAAGTTAAAAATGCAAAATGTTTACGCACGACGACGGACAGAAAGTGATCGGAATAGTAATTAAAAAATGTAATTCATAACATTAATGTGGTGGTGCACAAAGGGACGAAATAAAGCACTTAAAACCTTATAAAATATTGTTATTTCCAAGTATCATCCTTTATACTTATTAAGTAGAGTGTCATAAAACGGTAATGTCATAGTTTTAAATAGAAAAAATGTACACCTTACCAAAATTGAAAATAATATTAAGAGTCACAATAAAAACAATGATTTCAAAAATACTGTCAATCAGACATCTTCAAAACAACCCTTGTTGTCGATATTACATGATATCAGTCAGACATTATTTAAAGTTGAGTCTCCTTTGTCTAACAATGCTCCCGATCAAATTTGGTCAAAATATAATCTGATGTTCTGGACTAAAGAACAAGAGGCCCAATGGGCCTGCATCGCTCACCTGGTATTAATCTCACACTTGTAAACTTAAAAGTGGACTAAAATACAGCTACAGGCAGAATATCAGTGTGACCTTGAATGTCAAACAATGGCATAAGGTTGAAAGTGAGTCAAGATCATTCATTTGAACAAATTTGGTAGCCCTGATTGCTACAGGCCAAATATCAGTACCCTGGGCCTTTTGGTTATTGAGAAGAAGTTGTTTGAAGATTTTAAGACATTTGACACCTGTGACCTTGAAAGTTGGTCAAGGTCATTCATTTGAACAAACTTGGTAGCCCTTCATCCCAGCATGCTACTAGCCAAATATCATCACCCTGGGCATTTTGGTTATTCAGAAGAAGTTGTTTAAAGGTTTTAAACATATTTGACCCCTGTGACCTTGAAAATGGATGAAGGTCATTTATTTGAACAAATTTGGTAGCCCTTCATCCCAGCATGCTACTGGCCAAATATCACCACCTTAGGCCTCTTGGCACTAGGGAATAGTTTTGGGGAAGTTTCCTCGTAAAGGGGGTAGAAATTTTCGATGAAACTTCCCCATTTTCGATGAAACTTCCCCAAAAAAGTTTTATTTCCCTTTTCCCGGTAGGACTTCCCCTTTTCTGTGAAATTTCCCCTTGGTCCGCTGAAACTTCCCCTTTCTGCTGAAACTTCCCCTTTCCGCTGAAACTTCCCCTTTCCGTTGAAACTTCCCCCCAGTCACGACGGTCATCTTTACCTGTACACCAATCGACTGACCGACCATGCCTGACAGCTGTACCGACAGTGAGCGCCTGTCAGTCTATTAATAGATCTGGTGAGAAAGTCTGGTTTACCTGTGACGATACCTTACCGTTGTTCAAGCCAGTCAGTTAAAAACAATGCTCCGACTTTTGCGTACTTATAATGACATATCAGACATCGATGTGTTTCGACGATTACTAAGTATATATATNTTTAAGTGCGATTTACCAACATTGAAAAGCGTTTGTTCTTATGTAGTTTATTGTTTGCGATTCTTGTGTAAACAGCCGAGTACGGAATGTTTTGCTGTGACTATACCTTAACATTGTTCAAGCCAGTCAGTTAAAAACAATGCTCCGAATTTTGTGTATTTATAATGACATATCAGACATCGATGTGTTTCGATGATTACTATATATATATATATTATTTAAGTGCGATTAACCAACATTGAAAAGCGTTTGTTCTAATGTAGTTTATTGTTTGCGATTCTTGTGTAAACAGCCGAGTACGG